TTATATATATATATATATATATATATATATATATATATATATATATATATATATATATATATATATATATGCCTCAGAACATTTGAAACGGTATATATATTTTACACACATCTACATACATATCATCATATATATATATATATATATTTGTGTGATATTGCATATAAATGAAACGTGAAAAAAACTATCGGCATGTTTCACCAAATATAGCGTCTACAAATTTCTAAATTCGAAAGGAAAGCACTATAAAAACTGATAATATAGTTCTTTACAGGATCCTCTTTGTCGGAATATTTCAAATTCTATATATATTTCTCCTCCACTTTTTTTTGTCCTTTGATTTAATTTCTTGGCCACTTTACCCATGAAAATAATTTATAACTCCCTATTATTATATATAATCCCCTACATAGTTTAATAAATAAATAAAAAATTGAATATAATAAGCATTAAAATGATTTTCCCTATTATTCCGAATTTTGAGTTACATTTTATTTATTTATTTTTACCTATGAGGCCATCATGACATTGATGTTTTGGCTTCTTTTAAGAAGAAACACATCAAATAATCGATTGCAATTTTTGTTGATATCTTTGTGGGCCCTACTCCTTCAAAACCCTGATTCTGCAACCAATCAGAAAATGTGGTTTGTTTTGGGTCAAACTTTTTTATTTTTTCTTCTTTCTTCTTTTTAACCTATTTCCATTTACCTGTGTAGTAGAACTCATGAATTACTATGTTAAAAATTAATAAAACCTATCAAACGATAATATATTAATATATAAGTATTGATGACATGCACGTGTATATTATCAAAGGGAAAATAAAAATATAAAACACAATTTAACAGATAATTACTAAAATTGAAGAAGCAAATATATAATTGATGACAGCAAAGGTTGTACCGAAATTAGGTTTTAAATGAGGATTTAATTTTGATCAAAGTAGTTGTCCAGTCGCTTTCATTTATTTCAACATTTTTTTCTTCTCATTTCCCTCTTAAAGTTTAGCTCCTATATATATTATTATTGCCATTAATTCTTTTATGTATGGCCAACCAATTTCTTTTGTTTTCTTCTTCTTATTTATTTTTTTTAATTTTGTTTTTACAAAAAGGAATGCCAATGCCGTACGGTTTCTTTTTTCTCTATGCTTGCATTTATTTATTTTTTATTTTTTCGGAAATGAAGGAATTACGCAGATTGACGATGCTAGAGATAGATCACCTTAGAGTGTTGAAATAAGATGAGCTGAAAGAGCATAGTGGATCACTGACTCGTGAGCTTGATGACCTTGAGATACCTGCGATCATAAAACACGTGAGCTAGGTCGGGGGTTGATCCGGCGGAAACCCCTCCGACGCTCAAGTCAGACGTGCGGATAGTAGAAATACCCAGAGAATACATGTTGTAGTATTGCTCAGTTAATAGGAAGTACCTTAAGGAATGAGTTCAAACATTTATTTATACCTTAGTTGAGATTGTCGGGCCCAAACTTTACTCGAAGGTGATTGGGTCTCGATGGTAGTGTTTTTCAATATTGGGTTCGTGACCAGTAGATAAAGGAATTATAGGTCCACTGGGTTGGCCCAATTATACATATCACAGAACATATGAGAGACATAAACAACTTTACCTAACAATCGTTGATAAGCGAATTCGAACTTTGATTATGTAAAACAAACTATGTTGCTCCAACCGCTAAACATTCCTTAAGGACCGTTTCTCTTTTGAATGTATTATTAGTTGGTTTATCCGTCTTCAATAAATCAGACAATTTATAAATGACATCTTAAACCACGCTCTTTTTCTAATTCCTTAATGATTTCCGGTGTAGCTTAAGTAATATCGACGTGAAAAATTATAATATAGATGAATAAGGAAAATAGATTTTCAATTTCGGAGCAACTTTTTTCACTCTTATTGCTAAAATTCCAATTTTTTATTTTTTCATTTTTTTAACGGAAACAAATTAGTTTTTCACATCTAAAAATATAAAATAAAACATTAGATTAAAGAAAAACAAACTAATTCCATATATCCGAATTCCATGTCAATTCACATACGAATGATAATTCTGAGACATTTTCTAAAGTTAAAAACATTCAAATATAAATAAGAAAGAAAACAAAAAAAGTGAAATTCTTTGTTATGATATATCATATCCCAGTCAGTGTAAAGGAGAAAGAATAATTCTAATGCTATAAATGAAAAAGAAAAAAATGCAACTAACGTTGCTAATACAAATACAAATGGAAGAAGACGCACTTTATTACAAATTTTGCTTTAAATATTACATTAAAAGACATGTCATTCCACGTGATTGGCCCTACACGTACGCTATTCTCCATTTCCCCCTTGAGTGCACCACTCTTGCTTAATGTAGGTCCCACTTTATTCATTGTTCTTGCTTTCAATAATTTATATCCCATTTATTCCATCTCCTCTACTATTTTACATTCTTCCCCCCCTCTTTTTTTTTTTAATAATATTTTCAAAATTATATATATATTCTTTATAAAAATATTCATATGTTTGAATATCTAATAATAACATACTAAAAGTCTATAAAAAAAACTTTGGATTAATAGTTTATATGCATACTCACTATGTTCGACGAGTATGATCCTCTGACGAACACGATAAAAGTTTTGCGTACGAATTTGTATTTGTTTAACTTCTGAAGAAAATAAAATCAAGAACGAAAACCCAAAATGGAAAGGGCTTTTGAGTCATTAAACAAAATTAGTACGGACAAGCACAAGCCCAATAGAAGAGGTAAGGGATTTCATTATTAAGTAGCCCAATACCATTGGTTCATACAGAGATTTATGGTCCATTAAATGACTTGACGGATGATCCATTAACGAGCTTATTTGGGCCGCATGTGATTTCTAAGGCCCGGCCCGCAAACACTAAATAAAGTTTTAATCTTGATTAAGGATGTAACAACATCGATAATATTTATTAAATGGGCCAAGAAGGATAATGGAAGAGGCACACCTGTTAGTTTTAGGGTATATTAATTTTTATAATTAATATTGCTAAGCATAACAGATTAGAGATAATGGCACAACTAGATTCATGTATCTGCAGCAGATGACTCTTAATTATTAGCTTTATAATTAAGGGTAAATTACAAATACCCCCCTGAGGTATGGTCAAATTACAAAAAAACCCCTCTTGTTTGGATAATTACATCTACCCCCTCAACTATGATTTTTTCTTAGACATCCACCTTTATGGTGCCAAATTCAACATAGTCATCTAGATTCCGTGAAATGTGCTCTAGTTTGTACTCTTTTTGTGTAAAAAATACAGTTTCCGATGCACCACAAATTGATATATACAAGCTAAAAATCACATATTATGATCATCTTGCTTCATAATGTAGAGTTTGAATGGGATAAAACGGGTACAAAAGTGATAATATTCCGTATAATCTCGAAAATTACACTAAATTTGATGAGTTGAGGGGGTGGTTGTAATTATCCAAACAAGAGGGGTGTTTTTGTAATTTGGCCATACCTAAGGGGGTGTTTGTAATTTACCCTATAATTAATTAATGTTACTAAACAAATGACCAGTGCTTCAATAGGTCTACGATTGCATAGTCTCCTCCTTAACTCCTCAAAT